TAAGGTCAAGAACTGATTGTGGAACAATCAACTGCTCATATGCAAGTTCAGGTTGAAGCTGAAGACAATTTTTAAAAGAAGTCCACAAGAGCTAAAATGTGACCTTGATTATATCCCTCCTGAATTTAGAGACTACCTAAAGAATAGATTTGATGCATTGAACACCAAACAAAACAAAACAAAGCAAAACAAAAAACAGAGGAATTGTGGGGTGACATCATGAACATCATCCATGAAGAAAGCAAAAGGTCATTAAAAAGATGGGAAAGGAAGAGAAGACCAAACTGGATGTCAGAGAGGGCTCTGAAACTTGCCATCAAATGGAGAGTAGCTAAAGCAAGTAGAAGAAATGACAAGATAAAAAAGCTGAACAGAAGCTTTCAAAGAGCAGCTTGAGAAGACAAAGTCAATTATTATAATGAAATGTGCAAAGACCTGGGGTTAGACTAATAAAAGAGAAGAACACACTTAGCATTTCTCAAGCTGAAAGAACTGAAGAAAAGATTTATGCCTCAAGTTGCAATATTGAAAGAGTCTATGAGCAATATATTGAACGATGTAGGAAACATCAAGAGAAGATGGAAGGAATACACAGAGTCAATGTACCAAAAAGAACTGGTTGATGTTCATCCATTTCAGGAGGTAGCATTTAATCAAGAACCACTGGTATTGAAGGAAGAAGTCCAAGCTACACTGAAGAAATTGGCAGAGAACAAGGCTCCAGGAATTGACAGAATACCCATTGAGATGTTTCAATAAATGAATGCTGCGCTGGAGGCACTCAGTTGTCTGTGCCAAGAAATTTGAAAGACAGTTACCTGGCCAACTGACTAGAAGAGATTCGTATCTGTACCCATTCCAAAGGAATGTGATTCCACAGAATGTGGAAATTATCGAACAATATCATTACTATCACAGGCAAGTAAAATCTTGCTGGCAATAATTCAAAAGTGGTTGCAGCAATATATTGACAGAGAGCTTTGAAAAATGCAAGCTGGATTCAGAAGAGGATGTGGATCGAGGGATATCACTGCTGATGTTCAATGGATCTTGGCTGAAAGCAGAGAATACCAGAAAGATGTTTACTTGTGTTTTATTGACTATGCAAAAGCATTCAACTCTGTGGATCATAACAAATAATGGATAACATTGAAAAGAATGGGAATTCCAAAACACTTAAACACTTAATTGAACCTGAGCATAGACCAGGTGGCTGTCGTTTAAATAGGTCAAAAGGGTACTTCATGGTTCAAAAGCAGGAAGTGTGTGCATCAGGGTTGTATCCTTTCACCATACTTATTCAATCTGTATGCCAAGCAAATAATCTGAGAATCTGGATTATATGAAGAAGAACATGGCATCAGGATTGAGGAAAGACTCATTAACAACCTGCAATGTGCAGACTACCCAACTTTGCTTGCTGAAAGTGAGGATGACTGGAAGCACTTATTGATAAAGATTAAAGACTACACTCTATAGTATGGATTACATATCAACATAAAGAAAATTTTAAAAAGTCCTCACAACTGGACCAATAAATAGCATCACGATAAGTGGAGAAAAGATTGAAGTTGTCAAAAATTTCATATTACTTGGTCCCATGATCAACACCAATGGAAGTAGCAGTCAAGACATCAAACTACATATTGCACTGAGCAAATCTGCTGCAAAAGGCCTCTTTAAAGTGCTAGAGAGCAAAGATGTCTCTTTGAAGACTAAGGTGTACCTAACCCAAGCCATGGTCTTTTCAGTTGCCTTATGTGCACATCTGAGCTGGACAATGAAGAAGGAAGACCGAAGAACAGTTGATACTTTTGAGTTGTGGTGTTGGTGAAGAATACTGAGGGCACTGTGGACTGCCAAAAGAACTAATAGATCTGTCCTGGAAGAGGTGCAGCTGGAATGCTCCTTGGAAGTGAGAATGGCTAGACTTGGTCTCATCTGCTTTGGTCATATTGTCAGAAGGGACAGTTCCTTGAAGAAGGATATCATACTTGGTAAAGGGGAGGGTCATTGAAAAAGAGGAAGGTCCTCAACAAGATGGATTGACACAGTGGCTGGAACGATGTACTCAGGTATAGCAAGGATTGTTTGTAAGGCTGGCAAAGAACCGGGCAGTGTTTTGTTCTGTTGTTCATAGGGTTGCTATGATTCGGAGCCAACTTGATGGCACCTAACAACAGCAACAACATTAGTTCCAGTAGTTTTCTTATTGAGTCTATAAGATTTTCTATGTGTAGGGTCATATTATCTGTAAATAGAGATACTTTTACTTCTTCTTTGCCAATTTAGATGCCTTTTATTTCCTTTTCTTGCCTTACTGCTTTGGCTAGGACTTCCAATACAATATCGAATAGGAGGGCATCCTTGTCTGGTTCTCACAAGGGGAATGTGCTCAGTCTCTTTCCATTAAGAATAATGTTGGCCATTGGTCTTGTGTATATGCCCTTAATTATGTTTTATGTACAAAAGGGTTGAGGGTTGGGTGGTATCATAGCTTGAGTTAAGACCTGTATTCATAAATATGTCTGTGGACTACAATGTTAATAGTGATTTTCTGAAGGTGGGTATGGGAGCATTATGAGTTAGTCTTATTTTCTTCTATTTTTTCTGTATCTGCCAAAATGTTGTGATATAAGTATATATTACTTTAAATAATTTTGTTTAAAAAAAGAATTGATTGTTATTTAGAGAGTAACCTTCCATGATTAGATTTCCCAAGGATAGGCTCAGTTTCTGATACTGAATCCAGCTATCTCCATAATTATAATTTGCCAAAAAAATTGCTATATGTAGCATTTCTGGTCTTCCAAATATAAACACTAGTAAGTCCTAGTTTAGGAGCTCTGGTAGCATAGTGCCTAAGGCACTTGACTGCTAACCAGATGGCTGGTGGTTCAAACCCACCAGCCACTCCTCGGAAGGAAGGTTGGGCAATCCTACTTCTGTAGTGATACTGCCTCGGAAACCCAAGGAGGGGTCGCTATGAGTCGGGGCTGACTTGACAGCAAATAACAACAACAACAACAAGTCTTAGTTTATTTAATGTTTTTCTTAGCCCCATGAGATAGCATATAAAAATTTTAAATCAAGTGATGGCATTTCTTAAAATTCTCTGTTGTTTTCTGAAAGAATAAGTAATTGAATAAAATATCAGAGTTTTTCAGTTACTCTTTTTATTCCTTTGAGACAACTGAAAGTCCTTAAAAATGTATTTACTTTAAAAAAAATAGAGTGTACTCCCACTGCAATCGAGTCAATTCCGACTCATAACAACCCTATAGGACAGAGTAGAACTGCCCCAGAGGGTTTTCAAGGCTGTAAATCTTTCTGTAAGCAGATTGGCTCGTCTTTCTCCTGCAGTGTGGCCAGTGAGTTCGAACCACCAATCTTTTGGTCAGTAACCTTGCTGTTAACCACTGCATCAAAATGCCTTGGTGGCAGATGTGTTTTCAAAATTAAAAATATTTTGGATTTTAGAAAGACAATAAGTACATATTCTGTATATTGCATAATACATCCAGCATTCTCTGTAATAGCACCTATGTGATCATACATTATTTCTAATATAAAATATGTGAAGTGTCATACTAAGAGGGATAAATGAAGATTGTAGATAGCCTCACAACAATTCATATTACAGTTTGCCTTTGAATGAACTTCAGTGAAAAACTTAAGAAAAAGTTGTTTGTTTTTTTCTCTTTTAGAACTCTGGTTTTGGAATTATGAGGAATCAGGAACCTATACATGAATAATAGGGAGCTCCCAAATCATCTATTCTTTATTGGACAAAATTATATAATATAGATGGGTTAACTATGAAAATAAATTAGCATCTATGTGAAATAATGTTGTTGTTAGGTGCATTGAGTTGATTTTGACTCATTGCAATCCCATGTGACAAAGTTAAACTCTGCCCCATATGATTTTTAGGCTATAACCTTTATGGGAGCTGATCACCAGATCTTTTCTCCCACTGAGCAGCTGGGTGGGTTTGAACTAACAACCTTTTGGTTAGCAGCTGAGCACTTAACTGTTGCATTACCAGGGCTCCTTCATGTGAATTACTGATAGTCATTAAAAATAATTCAGCTCATTGAGAGAAAGACATTTCAGGTATGTGTGCCAAAAAATTATTTCTAATTTTCTGAAGTATTTTCATATGTATTTCTCAGAAAGTATTAGCATGTTTGATTTTTTCAGCAGTTCCAGTAGGCATGGCAGGTGAAAATATTCTCATCATTTTACTGATGAGAATGCTAGCTTTCAGAAAAGTTCATTAAATCAACTTAGGTTGCTTAGCTAATAAATGGAGGAGGCAGGACTTTTTGACTCTAAATCTCAACCTGTAAGTTAGGGCATTTCCTCCCTAGATAGGAATACAAGTACCTAAATAAGACATGGTTTGGTTTTCTGGGTAAAGAATTATTTAAAAAACAAAACAAAAAAATTATTCATAGCACCACTTAATGAACCAACTGGTCCTGTCTGTTAGGTGTCTAGAATTTTACACTTTATATATTCCCTCCCCGCCCCCCAGAGATGGTCTCTTGGGACATTTGGTTTGGGAATGGTAGGGAGTCTACTGGTCTCCACAGCCACAATTAACTGTCAATGTTAGCAGTTGATTCAATTAATTTAAGTGGTCATGGTGACTGACGGTAGCCAATAGCATGCTCTGGAAAATACTGTACAAAAATAAAATGAAGAATATCATGTATGAGATAGAAGTGATGGATGGTGCATGGGGGAATGTGGATTTGCTTTGAATTCTAAAACTTTTACCAAGTCTCTTACTGTGGGCGTATGGCATATATAAGCTGACAAATTGAGAAACAGGATTTTTGTAACTCATCTTGTTCTAGCTAGATTGTGTAAACCATCTGAAAGGTTGTTAGTCACCAAGGATAAAGAAAAAATTGGAAAGTGACATTTTATTTTATTTGTTGATGAACATGGGATAAGAGTAAACCTCCACTAAATTATGTGTATCTTTGCAGAAACATGCCAAGGGACAAGATTTACTTAAACGAGTGTGTGAGCATCTCAATCTTTTGGAAGAAGACTACTTTGGTCTGGCTATTTGGGACAATGCAACCTCTAAGGTGAGGAAACTGCTTGCAATATAAGAAGCTGATAAAAAAATTGTTTTTAATTCTTTTATTATTGTTGTTTTAAGAATGTATTTATTCTTGCCTCTCCAAGTTATAGTATACTTAGGGTTGTTCCTACCTATTTTTGTTTTTCAGATTTTTTTGCTATTTTCCTTTAA